ATTTTTATTAATAAGCTATTAATAATAGCAATTAATGTGTTCATTAAAAGCAAACAAAAGAAAGCACTGAAAATTTTTATCAGATAAAAATTAATTTAGTGTTTATTTTGTTACTCCTCAATATGTAACAGTGCTATTTTCTCACAATGTTTACTTTAATTTGAATTTCAGTAACTCAAAAAGTGCACTTATATTTTATTATGAATGTTGCAGAATGAAATGCATAATTGTTGTTTTGATAAGTATGATCAGCGTCGCTTAAAAAAATATTTGTTTTCATATAGAAAAAAAAAGTAATTACAATTTATTGATAAGTATTGTACATTATCAATTTTTTGTTTACCTTTTATTGTTTAACGAAAATAACCTAAAAATTTTTGATCTAATCTTTATAATCTATATTAGCTTAATCTTAAACTTTTATTAAGCTTTTATTTGCATATATATAGTACATCATTGATTTGTGAGAAACAAAGTCTTGTCCAGTTATTTGACAAAAATGTATTACTAGTTAGTTCTACAAAATTTTAGCAATAATCTGTTTTGCTTGTCGTTTAGAAAGAATAAGACTTAGATTCAGCTAAATCATATTTTATCGTACTGAATAAGCAGTATATAAAATAATGCGAAAAATGTATGGGCTACTTTTTTCTGCTTCGTACAATAATGACCAAATAGCATATTATTTGGATAGCGTAGAAAAAATCTTAATGATTGAAGAAAAAATGAAATACATAGAAAAAAGCATTTCAAGTTATGCATGCAGCAAATAATTTTAGACATCAGTGTGGGATTTTTCTTTTCACAGTTTAATTACCCAAAATACACTTAAATTTCTCAAAAATTATGTATAACATTTTAAAATTCATACTTCAATTTATAAAAAAACTGGTACAAATTATCATTAGCATTTCTTAATAAGGCTAAAACAAATGCTTCATTATTTTTTTTTAATTATTATCATTCTTATCATTTCACTCTATGAAGAAAGATAACAATTCATTGCCAATTTTTTTTAAGTTTATGATGTTTTAAAACGTTAATTTTGTTCTGCAAAAAACTATACGTGCTGTATAACGAGAAGAATGATTGTTTTTGTTTTATACAATAAATAGAAAAATGAAATTTTTTGATAGAAATGTTAATTATTGTATAAAATTGAAAATTTTTAAGATTACTAATGCTTATGTAGTTGAACGTTGCTGGAATTTCAATTTATTCAATGGATATACCATGAAAATTGAGCATTTTGATGTTTTGCTCAACAATCAGTACGATAGGCCGTATACTGGTGGCGAAACCGTTCAGGTTTGCACAAAATTATTTAATAACATTATATTTACAAGAATTTTTTAGAAGCAAATGGTTTTATACTTCTTTCTATCTTAGTAATTCTTTACTTAACTTTTCAGTATACTAACGGCATTAATTTATAATTTATGTTATCGTACTTCATAATCCATAATAAATATGCAGAAGCATGCTTTGCAATATATAAATTTTAGGGTCATGTAGAAATAAGTGTTTTGGAAAAAGTTAAAGTTGGTCGACTGATAGTGAAATTAATCGGTCAAGCACAAACAGGCTGGAAAAACAAGAATAGCGAAGTTTTATATGAAAGTAACGAACAAGTACTCAATGAGTACGTTGATCTGACCAGGTGTGTATTACAATTCAAGTTTTCCTAGAAGCGCTTTTTATCTTCAAAAAATATTTTAAACTTGAAAAGTCCACAATGCTAAAGCTTGAGAGCTAATTCTTTAAATTAAAAGATTTGCATATATGGTCAAAATTATGCTTGTCAAATTACAAATTACTTTTTTAAGTAAAATAATTTGTAAGTGAAAATTATAACTTTTAGTTGTATGAGAACTGATGTACAATTTTCTCGTTTGTGTGATATATGAAAAGATTTAGCCTAAGTAAAATGATTTAATTATTATTCGTTATTCATATTTATTATAAATTATAAAGCATATATTATGCATTATTGAAAAAGAATTACAGCTTAAGTAGTTATTGATATATTTATACAATCAATATTTTGCCAGAATGCTTACTGATGCTTGTGATGAAAATTTCAATTTGGAAGGAGGTCTGCATCAAATACGTTTCCAGATTCCAGTAAGTATTATAACATCCTTAGTTTTTTCAAATTTTATATGACATAAAATTCATAATTTTCAGATCTCAAAATGAAAAGTGTAAAGTGTAAGAAGTTTTAAGATGAAAAACCTTAATGTTAATTTTTATCGTTTAGTAACTTCAAAAGTTTTGTTTACAAATGTATCAAATGGTCAGTTTTTGTACTATTGTAGTGCATGATTGCAAATAATTAGGTGATATTTTATAGTAATTTTCAGCTGCCATTGGATGTGATCTCATCGATAGAAAAAGAAAATTATGGCTGGGTTCGTTATACATGTTCAGGAACTCTCGATGTACTTGATGAAGATGCTAGCGAAATTGTTGCTGGTATTTTCTAAACTTCAATTCAGTGTTCAATCTTGCATCACTTGAATACTTCTTTTGAACAATAAATATTAAGTGTACTAAATTAGTTATCATTAAAAGTAGTTTTGTTGCAGTTATTGAATTATTTTTAAAATCAGTTCTTATTTTAAGCGGGGAAAAATGAAATTTTCCAAAGTTTTAACTTATTTATAGAGTAAATGCTAACAATATTTGAAGTGAAAAGACTATTTTAGAGCATAATTTTACTGTTTACTCACTGCTTACTCTTGATGCGCCATACATGCGACAGCCAGCCACAAGTCGTGAAGAAAATGAAGTATATGGATGCTGTTGTAATCGTAAAGTTGGTTTTGAATCTGCACAGTTAACTATTTCTGATATGGGACTTTTACCCGGTAAGAATGTGGTAATAATTATTATAATTACTAAAATTATAATGTTTTTTGAAGGAATAAATAAATGCATTTTAATTTAACAATTACACTAAAATTAAAGTTATTAAATCAAATTTTTAAATAGACATAGTTTAATCTTTTATACAATCATAATAGTAATGCTTAGAAAAAGTTCAGGTGAAACAGCAAAAATCACATTAGTAATTGAAGACAGAGCAAAAAGGAGACGAAGAAATTCACGAAAAAATCGAAATGATTGTATTCTGCTTTCGTTATGTCAACAGCTTGATTTCTTATCACAGAATCGTTATGAATTGCATTTATTCGATAGAAAATCGCTAACAATTGCTGTTGAATCCATGGTTATAATCCACTTGTACTTCTGAAGAAATACTTTTGTGTATCTTTTCATTATCAAATATTGTAATTGAATCAAGTGTACCAAATATAATTTTGTCACTTTTCTTTCGTTTTTATTTTATATTTGCTTAAGATACCCATAAATTGCTATATTATCATTGGTATTTTTAGGGAACATGTAGAGCAACACCAGGTGCGGGTCCAGAAACAAGGCACATCGATTTTCAAGTGCCTATTGGTTTACAACCAACTTCAATTAAAGCAAATGGCCTCATTACAATTAGTTATTTCTTTCGTTTAGATATGCATAATTTTGATGTTATTGTGCCAGTCATCATTGGGTCTATGAAAACTCTTGGCCCAATTGATGATTAATTAATAAATGAATAATTGAGTAAGTGGTAAGTTATAAGATTTATTTCTATATCAGATTTGCATTTGAGCTTATGATGATTTGTTAACACCATTTATGCATAACTTTTAAACTAAAAATTTTGAAAATGCTAATAATTTATATCAGTTTTTTCAAGTTAATTGATCTCTCATTTTAATCCGATAAATTGTAAAATTAATATTACACAAATAAAAAAGAAGGAGTGACAAAGTGTCGAATGTGTTTGTCCAAAAAAAAGCTGATTAATGAACCATTTTTTTAACTGTACAAAATATAATTTAGTACTGTTGAAAATAATTTGCAAACAAACATTAGTTCACAGAAGTTAATCTTTTTCGCATTTGATTCTGGCGCTAGATCATATTCTGGTCTTTTTGCAGTGTAGTCGCTTCTTGACCAGTTCTGCTTTGCTGATCTCCATTCCTTGATTCTCGTCCAATCCAGCGGTGATTCGATGACACGCTTTCGAGAGCCTTCTTGAGCACTATCGTTGGGATATATGTCACAATGTGATCAGATTCACTAATCTCCTTCGCGTGGCGTTTATGGAAGTTACAGTCCCACTCCAAGTCATCACATGCGGAATTATTTTCATCCTGCATTTTATCTCTGACCCGAGTTTATTAGCGAGTACGACATACTTTTGCCTTTTCTCGGTCTTGACTGCAGTCAGACTGTCGTCACCAGTGACCCAACTCTATTAGGATTACTTCATGTCGCTTCTTATCGTAGATCATGATGTCCTATCGATCCGCACTTATCTTTATAGCTATTCTTACTCGTCCATTGACTCTGATCCCCACGTTCTCATTCACGACAGTCTTCTAAATGGAGTGGCTTCTCATGCGTGAGAATGCTTTCAAACTATTTTTGCAGAATTCCAAATGGATACACCTCATTATGTCTTCTATTATAATCATGATACAGTATTTTCTCAGACTGTGTTGCCAGATGATGCATCTTTATACGTACCCTGCAGTATGAGCATCTACTTTTCTCAGCTGTCGTCCACTGTTTCTAGATATTTTTACCCTTGAATTTCTTTCAAGACCGCCTCCTTATTAGTGCATACCTCGGTGTTACTTGCTAACTTTGCTAATCTCATCTCCAACCCTACCACATCAAAAAAGTCTTGAACTTCTTCGGTCATAGATTTCATGACATTCTTATCAATTGCAAAAATCTTGAGATCATCAACAAATAATAAATGATTTGTTATGATCGGTGTGGACTGCCACCTTTGGGTACCTCATATTAAGTCAACATATCAACGGGTTTATACACAAGATGAATAGCAGTGAATATGGGCATTCATCTTAGCTTAATTAATTGCATAAACATAAGTAACTACTTTGTACATGGCAGAAGATGAAACAATGAGCAAAAAGTGGAATAATAATGCATGATGGATTTGTGTGGTTGATCAAATTTAATATACAATTTCTTGTTGCTAAAATGATGAAAACATTTGAGGCACAAACTTTAGAAGGCAAAAAAACAAGTAATAGAGATAAGTGAACATGAAATGAATAGATACTGATGGTTATATATGTGGAATGAAATATGTGCTGATGACTTCCTCAAAGATTTTATGAATATTTGATCGGAAATATCTTGCGAACGAATACGAACAGTGTACGGTTCACTAAGTGGCCCATCACCACCGTCATTAAAGCCCAATATCTGTAGTATAAAGAATGCGACTAATATTTTGAAAATGAATAAAAGTGAAAGAAAAATTACACAAGTTTATAACTAAAAAGTCATTATCAGATCAAAGACGAGAAATTTTTACTTAAATTCATCAAAGACTGAAATGCAACATTTTAGATACATACCCTAAATGTGTACTGATGCATTAATTTCAATCCTTTGACTTCAGCGCTGGGTGCATTTTTGTTATGCAAATCAGATTCATTGATCCAAAGTATTATCGGTTTTTCAGCAGTTTCTGATATAAGCAAGAAAATCTAAATATCCTAATTTTTTCTCATACAAATAAAAAAAAGTTAAAACATTCAAACAAAATGCCCAATATTTCATTTTTTGCCTTATTTGAGTGAACACGTATTGAATATTTGTAATTAGCTTAGAAATAACTTTATCAGTTGATTGATATAACCCCTCATCCATATCAACTATAATAGTTTCAGTAATCTAAGTAATCTGTACTTAAAGCATGACTCACTTTATAACCAAGCATGCTTGTTTTATTTTTATACAAATCATGGTCAAATATTGTTGTCCACATCAAATTTACTGAGTAATCATTATGCTGAAAAATTTTTCATCGTTACTTGTGATGTAAATAACAAAAAATTTAGGCTACATGCATTAACACAACAGCATTTGTCTTATTTTTTCATTTCAAAATTAAAAATTTATCCTGTACTTATATCAAACTGTACAATTTGATAAATACGATGAGCGCTGATATTAGGAGAGCGTAATGGAGCAGCAAATTTAGTTACTACAATTGTCTCCTTAGAAAGACCAAAATGACCATAATGATCAAAAGCAGAAATATTGCAAGTGTAAGTAATCTTTGGTGATAGTCCACTAAATAACCAATAAGTATTATTTCCAATAAATGATTGACTAATTCCTATTTTCAAATCATTGATACAAGTTATCTGCAAAGACTTTAATTAAAATTGAAATCAGTAAATGATTTTATTACATTAAACTAACAGTTTTAAATTCAAAATTCGGTAATTAACTGCTCTAAAAAAATTTGCTTTCAAAGTACATGCTATAATAAACGTAATATCCGTGTTATCTCACGTTAATTTTATTCAAGCTATATTCGCTTAAAGTAATTTATGCTTTTGTTTTAGCCAATATTGGATTACTCTTCTTACTGAGGTCAATCTTTACAACTGATTGCTACAGTGCTAATATTTTAGTAATTATAAAGATTACTACATCTCTGAAATTATGTAAAAATCATCATTACAAGATTCAGATTTCGAACTCTATTTGAGAAATAGAGTCATTACATGAACGTTCCCAATATTATTTGCATACGCTAGTAGTCTTTGTTTTCAGAATTTCATATGAATGCTATCTTATCAAAGTACATGTCATCTAATTCACTATTAAAATTTAATTTAAGATAATCCAAATGATTTTAATACTTTTCAGACTAAGGGACTTTTTCTATAAATGTATAGAAGTACTATTTTTTGACAGGTATTCGTGATAGCTATAGATATCAAATAAAAATATACTGCAAAACTCCAAAAACGAGATAGGCGCAATTTTTTTAGATTTTGTGCATTATTTTTTTTACTTTGATCTTAAAAAATTTAATTCTGATTTATGCAAAATAATTCTAAAATATTACTTCGTAAAAAATATTAAAAAAAAGTTTAACCTTTGTTCCGTAAAAATTTTCACAGTTTGTTACATTAACCCATTTCCACTGAAATCTAACTGAAGTTGAATTCATTGCTTTTGCACTAATGTTATCAGCAAAACGTGTTGGTCCTAAACTTTTTCTTTTCTTTACTTTATCTAATTATTATTGCTTTACTTGCTTACATTGAATTATAAGTACGACAAAATTAAAAGGCAATTTTCCAGTACAGAAATTGGCAATAACAACTATTACTACTAGAATAAAACGAAATGATATGAATGAGAATTTTCTCAAAAGTAAATAACATAAAATTATAGCATTTACTGAAAAGTATAACAAAAGAAACGTCAGTAATAGATATTCGCTCAAATTATTAAAAAGTTTTAATAAGAAAAAAAAATTTACTGACTTTCATTTGAAATATATACTATCCTTGTATAACTAACATGACCAACACCAATATCATTAATCGGTAAAATAGTGATTTTCAATGCTTCACATTCCACACTATCACTCAGTTGTAAAATATAGTTTTCATTGTGAATTGTTGCTGAATATTTTGTGTCATTCTTTGAGCAATAATACCAAATAATCAGGTACCGAAGGTTAGGACCACTACGATTATTCTGTAATTCGAAACACGTATAAAATATTTTGCATATTTATTTATATTATTTTCTATTGTTTGAATAAAATAACTGATAAATTAATTCCTTAATCAACATTTTATACAGTTGAAATTATTTTTCTAAACATGAATTTTATTAATTACTTTTTCTAAACACTTAAAAATATGTTTGCATCTTGTTGATTATTATATTTTTCAGGAAACTCAGACATTAAGCGCATTTTAAATTTAAATTGTTGAAAGCTTAGTATTCATCAGAGAGATTTTCAAATGATAACATATCTTCAAAAATCATTAGATTCTGTGTTAGTTGAAAGTAAACCCTGATAGTAACACATGTCGATTATTATAATGAACAGGAAAAAATTTATGAAAAAAAAGTGTTAGCAATATTGATAATAATACTGTTATTATCAATATCACTGTTTATTTATTTGCTCATTTGTTATTATTGCTATTTGTTATTATTATTAATGATTGTTTTGGTACGATTTCTTATCAAAGTATAGATCATTTAGCAATTTGCTCTTACCAGCTCACCAGGATCCCATTGTAGTAGAACTTGATGACTGTTCACTTTTTTCCACCAAATATGATTAATAGGCTCTAATGGTTCGGATCCCAATGTTTTCAGCCAAGATGTACTTCTTGATGGATAGCCAAATTCTTTTCCATCATAAGCTTTTACACGAAACTATTATAAAAGTTTGAACAAAATTATTTGCAACTCATAATTAGAAAGTCATTTTCAGTCAATTTTGTGATCAGAAGTTTAATCACTTTTAAGAATTGGACGATAAAAATTTTAACAGTGATAAACATGTATATCTTACTTGATATTCCTCATTTGGTTGTAATTGATCAACTGTATAATGTATTGACGAATTTGACTGTGATAAAGGAACAATTTTAATAAGTCGCCAAGATCGGTTTCTTTTTGTTCGTATTTCAATTTCATATACATTATCTTCTTGCTGCAATTTTTATTTTAAATAGTAATTATAGTGATAGAAAGACTACATGTATACTCAAAAATCGGTATTTGTTAGAAATAAATGATCAAAATGAAAAGTTGAGAAAAGTAAAAAGTATAGACTTGTTTATGCCATTGTCCAGCATTTATGAGATTGGGCTGATTCCATGAAAGTTTCACAGAATTAGCAGTAATATTGATAACGTGAATATTAGTTGGTGAAAGAGGTAAAGGTCGAAACTGTAAGTCAGATGCACCACCACCATACAATGATGTGCACGCAAAACGGCCAAGTCTTTGTGCTCCTAATATTGATGGAAGCTTAAAAAAATTTATTCATAAAATTGAAACAAAAAAAAAAATTACCTCGACAAAATTGAACAAATTATACATTAAAATTAACAGTGAATGATAGATGTATGCAAGAGAAAACAATTATGTAGTATTACCTTCAGTTCATATTTTTGCTTCATTCTTGACACAAAACTTCCTCCATCTTTTACAAAACTTTCTGTTACCTACAAAAATGATTAATTATTTCAAGTATTAATATTTTGGTTGATTTATGGTGAATATGACAAATATATATGACATTTTTTATACTAACCAGAAATAGTATGGATAAGTAAAGAAGCTTACAATGGAAGTAATTTGTTTGTGGAGAGGAAGAGATCGAAGTGGTTGATCGTTGAGAGCCCAATCAAACTGAGCTTCTCTACAGTCATCTGTATTCTTGCATAAAGTTTCAACTTCACAACTTATAGATAAATTACCCGTATGAGATGAAAAAAATTTGATTTTCGGAAGTACAGTAACATTTGGTTTTTCTGCAAAGAATTGCATTCATTTATCAGCAGTAATAATGTAATTTAAAATTGGCTGTTAATATTGTAATACATTTTAATGCTAATAAAATTAAATTTTATCTTTCACAATTTTTTAGTTTTTCAAAAAAAATCTTATTTGTAGATATTAGCAATTACAATTTTTAATGAGTAAACTCAAAAATTTAACCTAAAATAGTGAGTTGTATACTATACTGTGTTTCACCGCAACGATTTGCAACTGCACAAATATATTCTCCCTCATCGCTAGATTTTAGATAGTCGAAAATAAGCTTATGAAAAAAAATTCCAGGCTGTTGCCGTACGCGACCAAAATTATGAATTGGTTCTCCACCCGGACGAAACCACGCAGGAAAACCTGATGGCGATGATTGGTAGATGCATGGAATAACCTGTACATAATAGATGAAACTTCAATAATTAAATTTATTTTTAAAATTATAAAATTAATTGATTAAAAAATTTTATTATTATTATAATAATCGTTGCATGAAATATGTTAAATAATCTATTTACATCACAAGGTTTAATAAAGAACCTTTTTTCTCAAATGAATTGATTATATAAAAATACCAAAGGCATTCCAGCAATATAAGAAAGTTTCTTGGGCATTGAAGTAATATCAAAATGTGGTTTGAATTCTACAATAGTTAGCCGAGCAGATGAACTTGTCGATCCAATCTCATTACTCACTATGCACTGATATATTGCACTATCTTCAAAACGAGTTGATAAAATTGTAAGTCTGAAATTACGCAAAACAATGTTACTGTACTGCCACAAAACTAATATAATTTATTTTAGCAATGTCACACCTGTATACAAAAATAATGCTATGAACTCATTGTACTTTTCATCACAATAATGAACAGATAAACTTAGTTTCAAAACTTTTACCTAAAATATTTAGTGATAATTGTTGTTGATAAAAATTCTAAAATTTAATGCTTTTTGTTGGTTTCAAATCTAAAATAATCGATCAAATAATTGATTCTTTTAAGTAATACAAAAGCTTAATTACCAAAAAATACAAATCATAGTTACTGTATAATTTACTTATTAAATTGAATGATAATTCGAGCTCGTTCTTCTTTAGATAACAATAAAGCATTCAGTGGAGAAGCATCTCGAAACCATTCAATAGTGGATAATAATGACTGTGGTCTATTAGCAAGAAAACAATCAAATAAAACTGTGACATTTATCGGCATTATTTGATCATACAGTGGTGTCAGAATTTCTGGTTTCACTGCAAATTTTAATTTGAAATGATTACAACAAAATAAATGCTTATCACTGTTATCTCTCTAAGTAAATACTGAATATTTTAAAGAAATACTACAAATTTCCATAAGTTATAAAAAGATTATTAGCATATTTCATGCAAAAATTAGAAACTAGACGTAGTAATTTTTATATCACAATAAAATTATTCAAAAAATGAGCATAATTTACCAAAAATTTTTAAATTTACAGCTGCACTATTTGAACCAAGTTTATTTATTGCAGTGCATCGATATGCCCCTTCATCATCAATGTCAAGTTCATCAATGCGCAGGATATTTCCATTGTTCATCAAAGCAGCTTTTCTAGACAATGGTTTACCATCTATTCGACTCCAACGATAAGTTGGTGATGGACTTAAATGATTTTTTTTATCGAAAGTTTTGATTTATGTGAATAAATTTTAATAATATTTATTTATAATTATTTTTTAAGTTCAATAAAAAATTTATAAGAAATAAAATTATTTGTTACCGAGCATAAGCAAAACATTCTAGAAATACGCTTTCGCCCACTTCTGGCATTTCAGGAAATATTTGGGGTTGAAATGTATCAATATGCGGTGGGAATTCCACCATACTAATATATTTGGATAAGCGAAGATTGAAAAAGGGTCCAGTAATGGTTTTATTTATTGATGTGAGCATTATAGAACAAGCATAACTACAAAAATTTTGAAGTTGTATAAAAATTATGCTCATTTACGTCTACAACATTTACTAGTTAATTTATGCTAACTGATTAAGATCTTAAATTGTCTCTTAGTTTTAACCGAAAAATTGAATAATTGCATCAGCTAAATAAATCTCAAATGATTATAATTTTGCTTTATTTTTTAACTTAAAAGTATTTAATAGTTCGGCTGTAGATATTTTATAGTTTGTATTTTTTGCGCAAAATCTTTAAAATTAATAAAATAATGCTTTGAAAAAATTTACAAAGTAAACCTTGTTTCATCTTCTTTTATATTATAAGAAAAATATAAAGTACCATCTCGTGATATGAATATTCTTTCACTTTGCGTGATTACTTGATCTTCAGTACCATTAAACACCCAAGAATAAGCATATGTTCCTTAATACTTTTTTTTTTATTTCAATAATAAGGTGTGATTTCGTTGCACAATATAATTTTCAAAAAATTTCTTGCTCTAAAAATTTGAGATATTTGAAACTGTATGATTATACAGTATCATGTTTGTCATAATTCTTTTCGACCATACCGTTGTTATTAGCTTCTTTTGTTAGTTGATGATTAACGTCCTAAATAATAAAATAATTATGTATCATTTAGCAATATTTATTATAAACTATATAGAATTTCTTGCTTACTTGGATAATGTGGTGGCGCTTGGCACTCTATTCGTGCACCGGAATTTAAATAATTTATTGAATGAACATCTAGTCTGAAGTAAAAGAAAAATTTTGTAAAAGATCATTATTATTGCATTTTTCTTACCTTTTAATAATTTTTCTTATTTCCGATTTAAAAAAAGAAAAATCACTCGCAACTCTCAATAGAATAAATTTAAAACAGCTAGGAAGTCAGCAAAAAATTTAAAAGTGAAATTAAATAGAGTTTTGAAGTTATAAAAGAAAAGCAGAAAGTTAATGTACCGTTTATCATGAAAAGCTGAAATAAATGCTGGGCGTACAATAGCAACAGTACTTCTCACAATGCCCAAATTATTTTCTGCTGTACAGTGGTAACTATCATATACTGTATCAAAATTAGCTCTTGTTTTCAACGATATTAGCAACGATCCACCAGATAAAAGATACGGACTTTGATTAGAAGATAACTGTACCTTTAAATAATTAAAAGTAAAAGATTATGGAAATTTATAAAGTAGGACTAACTGTCAAAAATATAAACATGTGGTAATTTGGCATCAAAAAAATGAATAAAGTAACTTACTTCTTCTACACCACCTTTAAACCAACGAATTTTAGGAAAGGGATTTCCAATAGCAGTACAAGATAATGATAAGTAAAAATTCACACCTTCAGGAAAGAAATAATGCTCTTTATTTGGGTGTATGACAATTCTTGGAGAACCTAAACTTCAAGTTTCATTAATTTCAATGAATAAAAAATATGGTTTATCAATAATCTCTGAATACATGCTCTTGAATATTAGCAATCAAAGATCTAAGTGGAACCTGCTGGTAGAAAACTTTCTTGATGAAGTAATTTTTGCCTAGTTAATGAATCCAATGAGCATACAAATGGATATTTTGATTGCATTGCAGAAATATTTTCACTGAAAACTTTTAAGAATTGCATTTTTCATAGCCAAAACAAATTTAATTCATATTATCTTTTTATCTTTTCATGAACTGCTTACATTATTTCTGCTTGATTTAAGCATATGGATGATATGTTTAAACTATTAAAATTAACAAAATACAAAATATGAAGTAGCAGTGACAAAACTTGCATAATGTAAGTCCTATTCAGTAGTCTTTTCAGCACAACATATTTTCTACTCGATGTGAGTGAATCTTTGCCTGCATCATTACTTACACTCATTAACCATGATTTTTCTGTATATCCATTATTATAAATTTGCTGAAATTTAAATTATATATATATTTTTTTATCTCTATATATATTTTTTTATCTCTCTCTCTACATATATATATATATGTAGAGAGAGATAAAAAAATTTATGATGACATTATCATCAATTTTTCATCAGTATTGAATAGTTTAAATAGTGCCATAATTTTATATCAAAAGCAACTTGCATGTAGTAAAGAAGACAAATTTGCCACAAGATTTTCATCTATTTGTCTGCTTGTCATTAAATTTAATAGGTCACTACCAGAGTTTCGGCAGCTTTCTTGAACTTTTGTGGGATAACTTTGACTGAATCTTAATTGGATGCATTTTTTTAGTGACACTTTTGTCCATCCCAGTGGACATTGTTCTTTATCTAAAATAATTCATTTTGTGTAAATAATCTAAAATGTATCATTAAAATAACAATTTTTGATTTTTACATATTTTGAAGTATAAAATAGCTTACGTTCCATTTTATAAAGTAATTAAGTAATGTTTTCAGATGAAAAATAGCCATTAAATGATTATTTTATATGCTTGAAATCTTGCTTACAGCTTCCTAAAAATATTTTTACTCATTAAAATTGGATTCATAATAAATCGTCTGTTATTATAATTTTACTTCCTGGTACTATTTAAATAAATAACAGCAATAGTAATAATTATATTATTATTTAATATTGTATTAATGTTATGGTATGATGACGATGATAAAAAAATTAATTTTTCTTGAAATAAGAACTTTATAAACATGACAGTTAGTTTGCAAGATATTTTAGAGTATTATTCAAATTCTTATCGAAGATAAATGGTAAAAATAAATATTTTTTGCACAGTATAATAGCGCAGTAAAGTCAATAATTTTTCTAATAGAAATATTTTATTGACGTGTAATATATAAGGTGAAAAGGTGCTCAATTATTATTCACTTAAACATAGTTATAAAGGGTAGTACTAAGGCAAAGGCAAAGTTTGAGTACACTTTATAAATCAGCCCAGCCACTTTTTCTATTCGAATATTGTGATAAAAGCTTTCCACTATTTCTCGGAAAGAATTAATTCCTTTTGAATAAATTAAAGTTTCATACAAAATCACAATGTCTTTTTTCTTCATTTACATTATATTAGTATAATAGCTTAAGTTCAAAAAGATTATATCACTTATTTGAGATAATAATTATTTTGTATCATCTCATTTCGAGTAGTTAATACGATATTTGTTAAATTTAAACTGATTTAAATTTTATCAAAAAAATCGAGGTAATAGTTTTTTACATGAAAAAATTATTAAAGATTAAAATTTACTGTAAATACCAATCAATTTGTATACAAGAACATACCATAAGGAAGATAAAAGTTACCACAATAAACCATTATGATATTGCAAGTTAAAGTGATGACAAAAACTTCTAATTGCATTAGCATCACAGTCAGGCTAAGAAAATCAATCTGGTCTTCAGAATATACATTATTTGCATTCAAGCATTTATGTCTCTGAAATAAATACATAATTATTATTGAAAAATTAGATTTAAATTAAATAAAAGCACTTTATGGTAATGAATGAAATTAACACATTTACATTTAATAGAAAATGCTAACTTAAAAAATGCAATTATAATAAGTTAATTTTTTTTGATAAAAATGAATCAACTGAATTTGTGATTGAATTGGCATACTTGAATTAGATTTTTGTTTATTTAAGATGTTCTTGCAAGAAATGTGCAAAAGAGAACTGCAATTGTTTTTTCAAAACTCAAATTTTGTTAAAGAGTACCACAACGTGGCAGTAATGAAAAATTCATGTGGTAATTGTGTTAATATTTGGTTCCGAGCATTTTTTTTTGCAATTTTTATTCTCAAATAATCATTACCATATTATTACAAAGCATCTTCCCTTCATTTAAAACATATATGGAGGAGTTTAATTTTTATCTTAATATCTTGTCTTTTATAAGAAAACAATAAATTGACGGAAAATTTGTCATATAAAATACAGCATCATTATAGTTACTAATATTACTGTTCTTGCTTATTATTGTCATTATTTATTATTATCCTTATTCGTATTCTTCTTATTCTTATTCTTATTATTCTTATTGTTCTTCTTCTTATTATTATTATTTAGCATTATATTAATTATTTGGTATTATATTATTACTTAGTATTAAAATGCCTTTATTTGATCTCATTCAATTTTTTGTAACTTTTTCTTTTTTTGGTTCTTTTTAAGCTTCAAACTTAATTAACATTTTCAGTTGTGTCAAATTTGGTTTAATATAAAACGAAAAAGAAAGTAAGCAATTAAAAGGAAAAGTGATTTGAAACAGTGTGAGAAGGTTTGCGACGTGTATGTGATGCGATTGAAATTTTGAATGAATGCAATATTTCTGCCACAAATGACAGTTATCCATTGTACAGTTCGATTAGAATGAAATCTTTTATTAAGGTTATTAAATGCTTCAAATGAATACTTTTCACCTTTTTTCTTTCATTAATTTTCAACTTTTTCGCAAGAGATTAGCTAATCAAACGGCTTTTGCTACGCAAACATTTGCTAATTTATTTAAATCATAAATTCCTTTCTCTTTTGATCAATAATTTATTTTTAAATTTATAAAAATTACTTGCATTTTTTTGTCGTTGTTATTAAATATATCACAAATTGTAAAATAAATACCTATTTATTGTTAGTAGCTGAAAAAGAAATAAATAAATGGCTTGATGCGAATTATTAATACATACTTTCTAAATAGTGTACATGTAGATACAGATATTTGATCATTAAAAAAATACAAAGAAAATGGACAGACAAGCAGAGATGCAAAAGGGATAAATTAATTTGTTGTGAGAATAGTGATGGAAATAGCAAAAGGATTCATTTTGCGCTTGGGATTAAATGGAGCGTAAAATAAACAGACTGCTTTATGAAGTCGAAGTTCTCATAACTACAAATATGATTGCTAGTTATGATTGAATAATAAATACAATTGATAATAAATATTATTTTAAAAAGTATTGAGATGGCGTAAATTGTTTACAAAGAGTAAGTGTATTTTTTAATAATAAAGTTGCATCAAAGTCTTAAAAAGCTTTCTAAATATATCCGCTAAAATAATATACGTAAAAACAGGTATTTACTGATTTTAAAAATGACTGGAAGAAGTGAAAGCAAAAATATAAAATTAACAAAATGATTATGGAAAAAATTTGCATTTCAAACAATTTAATTTTCACTCAGTGCATCATCTAATTTTTAAAAAAAAGTAATGCTTCGCCTTACTAACATAATAAACAAAGCAAATATACTGACCGAAACATTTGCATAATTGTCATTGAAATGAAATGAAAAATATTTTTTGCAAATAACGTTATGCTTTACTTTACTTAACGCATTGTTTTTTTTTTTTTTTTTTTTTTTGCTGAAGTGCTTTGCAAAACACAAAATTTTTCAACGAAAATTCAATTCATAGCAATAATACTTTCTAAAATAAAATTTTCTTCAAAAAAAGAATCATGACTATTAACATATATTTGAAAAAAAATTATTTGATAATTTTAATTTTAACTAATATTTATAAAAATATGAATATTATGAAGAGAAGAGGTAAAAAATAGTATGTGTCAATTAAAATAATCATAACAAGAGCTGAAAAATGAAGAAAAGTATTAAAGAATATTCTGTATAATTCAAGAATGGATTAGGAATGCATCAGATACTGGATTTAATGTAATCCTTCAGTTGACTCCATACCACAATAATCACTGTGCTTATTTATAAATTGTATAAAACAATTTTAGCAAGCTTAACGTAAAGCATTGTGACAACTATTTTAGATAAACTATTCTATTTTTATTTATCTTAAAAAATAGTAAATTTAGTGATGCATCAGAAGAAAGCAATCAAATTTAAGCTTACAATTTCAAAAATGTAATCAACTACTAGATCATTTCTTCACTTCTTTAATGACTTCTATACTACTGCCATCGAAACGTCATTCAATAAACATAAATTATTGAAAATGATTATGAACTAACATTGACAATTCAGTTTTTTCATTTTTTTTTCTTTTGCAATGCTTTTGATATATTACAATCAATTTAAATTAAGGTCCAAATTACGTCCACTCAATGCATCGAAAGGATTACTTTGTATATATATATTTTTGAAATAAACCACCAATCCCTAAAACTAACTAACATTCCATTGTGCCTTTAGCTTTATAGCTTATCAAAAAACAAGTGGCGAAAAATAAATGATCACACAGAGCAAATAAAGCCATGCAATGAAATCTCAGTATTAAGGAGAATAATTGCTACTGAATGAAAATAATTTGCACTAACGTAATGCCAGTCACTGATGAACTAATGCTCAGACAAATTTAACTATGATTTGTCTTCGCAGGGTTATGTTAATATATGTATTTGGCATTTTTATATTCCAAAACAGAACATTTAAAGATTGAAGAAGAGAAAGAATATATTTATTTATTTTTGAAATTAATGTGAGCAATTCTAATAACTCGCGGTTAATTTTCATTTTTCATATAATATAATGCTTAGCTCAGATACGAAAAATGCGAGCATAGTACAGAAGTACGGTACATATTTTGGAATAATGTCCTACTTTTAAACTTAATTATACTTATAAGTGATATATAACATTCTATCAATTAATATCCAGCCTTTCAAGCTTCACATATATATATGTAGAATTACTGACACTTGTTATGAAGAAGCAGAAATGAATAAAAAAAATGGAAAGTTAGAAAGTCTTTGCCATAATAAACTAAGACATAATGATTTCCTAATGCAGATTTGTAAATTCAATAGAAAAGTATGGAATAATAAATTAAGATTTTGCTCTATAGCAAAAAAGTTATTGACAAAAATTAATTTTAGTCACTTGCTTTCGAATATTTTTGAAAAGCTTTAAAAAGTATGCTCAGATAGATTAAGTAGTAATTTAAAAAAATCATAATTTCAGATTATTGCTAATTTCTCGCATTGATTGAAAGGTTGTATGCAAAGTCTTTCACTAACTGTGAGATTTTATAAATGAAATGAGAGGAGTGTTTTGACATTTTATCTCAAATTTTTTATCGTTATAGTGATTTCATTGTTTTCATTTCTTCAACAAAATTTCTCATATATTTTATGATTTTTTATAGGATAAGTAAGTTTTGTAGCAGTGAATGAATCTTCGGCACAGAAATAAAATTATTAATGAGAGAAGTAAAAAATATGATGAAGCAATTGACTATGTTTCAATTATTGTTTACGAATTACAGTTATACTGATAAATTCAAAAGTTTGAAATATCATGTTTAACAGTGATATTTGATTTCAATCTTTTTTACGCATGTCTTTGATATATATTAAATCATTAATGTACTACTTACAAAAATTAACGAATCATCATAATTTTCATATATATGTATATATGATCGTCCCATATCACAATTTAAATATTATTCTTAATACAAGCTATCATAAGGTTTATGTTTCTGATTTGTATATCTACCACTTGCATACTTCCTATAAATTGCAAAATAAAGTATTAAAATGGAAGTGAAAAAAGTTCACATAAAAAAAATCAGAAGTACAGACTGAAAATCAACCATCGTTTTTAATTTATGCCCAGCAACACAAGTAAATTGTTACATCTTTTTTCATTCGTTTATACTTATTTATTTATTTATTTAGCTATATTATATATGTCAAAAAATTGTGCATCTTAAATAATCATAAACTTTGATAAGATTGTCATTGCATCTGACCAACTAATTACTGATTATTTACATTTTTATTTTCATCAAATATTTTATAAATCATTTTTTCATGTGCTATGTTGTACTTCAACTCAAAAAATGTATTTGTTTTGAATGGAATAATTCTTTTTCCTGTATATTACTTCTTTTATAAAATAAAATTTTGCTGCCTATTAGCTAACACTTTTTCTGTACTATTTCTATAAATTAGATAAAGAGCTGATACATAAAGCCTCAGACGTAAAGTATATAAGTAGTATGCTAATTTGTGTATAGTTTTTGACATGCCTCTTTTATATGTTACTTTCCTCTACGAATATACACTAAAGCATTTTATTAAGCATATTAATCTTCTGCTATTAATTTTAATCAAAAGTTTCTCATTTATTTATTTAACGAGAGATAAACTATAAATGTAATCAGTAAATCATTTTAGAGAAAATGGAATACGAGCTTAATTTTTATTTGCTATTTCAAACAATTTTTCATGTCATAATTTCATAAAGTACAAATATTATGCAAACTGAATGCGTGATTTATGTCTATTTGCAAAAATAAGCTATTTGTTCGATTACTTTGCAAATCAACAAAGTAAAACTTAAGCTATTTCATTGAAAAAATACCACAAAAGTAAAAAGTGTAACAACAAAAATTGAGAAAATGAGGAATTACTTGAAGAAAAACAAAACGTCAGTATTTTCATTCATAAAGCGTTAAAAACCTTTGCATTAATGCCGTAAAATATTATGCGTGTACGTGAATTTTCATTGCAAAAATTATAACACAATTTTTATCGCATGAATCATTCATAAAAACTTTCATTGCATAAATTATGTTTGCAAAAAATAGTTTAACAGAAAAGACTATTTTAAAAAGTACTTAAACAAATAGAAATTATTTTCAAACAACTAAACTAAATAATTTAAAAAAAAAAAAGGAAAGCATAACTTTACTAGACATACATCACCACACAACAAAAATCTTGGAAAAAACATCAGGAAGCTAATTAAGTTTGTAAAACCAATAATAGCAAATAAACTAAAAACAAATGAAATACACGAAATTAAGGGAAGAAATCACAAAATAAGAGAAAATTTGGAGAGAAAAAAGGAAATTTAAGGATGCATTTGTATATGAATACTTGAAAAATGATTACAGATTAATAATCTGATAAGATAAGTAATACAATAAGTATTGAAGTACTTGAAAACTTAAAATGAATTAATCATATGGTAGCAAAAGAAAAGTACTATTACTGCAATTAATGATTTTTCAACATGATATTTTGATTTATTAATTGGTAATTTTTATACAAGCGATAAGGATTTTTGTGATAACTGTAATCATAAACGATTAACTGAGTATGACTAGAAAGAGAAAAAATTTATTTCTGACAATACGAAATCGATGAAACAAAATATATCCATAGAGCAATGAAGGAAAGCAGGCAAATTTATATTATTAAGTCATATTACTATTACTAACTAGATATGGCAGATTTTAACAACAAGCAAGTTATACTCGTCCAATTGTGTAAACTTACATCAATCCAATATGGATTAATGTAATAACAAAACCAGAATAATTTAAAAAAGTTTGGGGCTGTCATCTTTAAGAGCAATAAATGCGTGAAAGTTTGAGAACCAAAGAACAAAGAGATAGAATACGAGATAAATTTTTGAATTAAATATAAGAAGTTAGATATCACATGCTGAGTAGTAATCTATTTGCTTGTGTATTTGAGCTGTAACTGTATCAATTCTTGAATGTAATTCACTCGTTTCAAGAACGTAATCCGTTAAACGTACATCAAACGCATCTATATTTGTCGAAAGTTCTATAAAAGTAAACTTGTTGAAAAAAAATATTTTTGTAATAAAAAATCAAACTTTGTATACATTTTTTTTAGTACGGAAATGCTTCTGCTTTTGTATAACCAAAATGCATAAATTTTTATCAACAAACTGGAAATAAGCGCATACGTAAAATATCACTGCGATGTCGCTGTGTCTTATGTAGTAGTTGAGTTGCCCGTTTGCGTAATTCTTCAGCTCTTTCTTGAGGTAATTCATTATCAATATTTTGAGATAATAAGAGTTCTTTGGTTTGTTCAAAAGACACCTAAAAAAAATTCCTATGCATAGTAAATACATAAAATAGAAGTTAAATTATGTTTCATCTTTTTAATCACACTGACTTCATAACAATGCAAGTTTAATAGTTTTAAAGAAAAAGTAATACTTTAAGCTTCTTCTTAGCTGCCTCAGCATATTCAACTTGTCTTATAGCTTTATTAGCAGCTTCATACGCATATTTTGTATCTTCAGAAATTGACAGATATTGTACGTTAATATCTTTCATATCATTATCTAATTTCATCAGTGACTGATTTGTCTTTGTTGCTGATATTTCCGCAAATTCCAGTTGATTAGTGGCATCATTTAAATCATTTCTAAATAATATCGCAATTAAATTAAAGAGCACAATAAGCATATTATCTTAATGAATTATAAATTAGACATTTAAAAAAGTAACAAACCGAGCTCCCATGATCCGTTCTGTAGCCTTTTTCATCGCATCTCTGGCTATATTCTGTGCTAAACTAGCTTTTTTCAAAGCTTCACGCACTACTGTTGTAGTATTTCTACAATATAATAAAATTGTATAACATCATACTCAGCTAAAATACAAAATATTTTCACAGTCCACTTACTAATGTCATGAGTAATTACAATATGCAAGAATATTTTTAAAAATCAAAATCAAAATAATATTCAAAACATAAATTATATTTTTATATTTAATATAATAAGAATTTTATTTTCTATATTTTCGAAATCTGAAAGAAATCATTTGATATTATTTCATTTCTCGTAACATTCTGCATGAATATAAATACCTGATTTTAGTTGCACGCATGTTAGCTAATGCAGCAGACTTTTGTAAAGCTTCTGCGATTGCTTTACTACTATGTGTTTCGTTTAAAATCATGTCAGTATTACTAATATTTTGTAATTTCTCCCGAATCTGAAAAGGAAGTTTATTTCAGCTACTTTGTCAAAAGTAGTTTTCGATTTCTAGCACAATTTAGTGATATAAATTTAATAGTTATAAATCTTATATCAGTCATGATATTTCATGACTTTACGATAATTTCATGTTTATGACAATTTCATGATTTAACCTGTTTTGACAGTTTTTCAATTTGAACAGGAGTAAGAGATATTGTTGCAGCAGTTATTACTTTAACCAGTGCTTGAATTTGTTCAGGATTATAGCGCTGATTATTATCAATAAAATGATTCATTTTGACAAGCATTTCTTCCATTGTAGTCCGTATTTGATTTGCCTAAGTAGAATTGTCTTCACCAAAAAATTAACTAACTACTTTGGTAGTAAAATATTGCAATACTGAAGTAAACTCTTTTGTTATATCATATTTTATATAACCTGTACAGGAACCTGTAAAGCTGCTATTTCAGCTGCATCATGTCCACTTTTGGCTTCACTTTTGATAAGGGAAATTTGCAGTAATATTTCTTGTATTCGACCAAGAATCTACAAGAAATTAAAGCAAATTGAAAATTTCACTTGCTTTCTTTTTTTCACTTAACAATAGAATGAAATAATTACAAATGTACTGCAAATTTTTCTTCTCGACTCAATAATTTCCATTTACCGTAGCAGTGTGCACATTTTGTTCATTAAACATATATCATACAAGCTAAAATCTATGTTCAATCAACTTGAATCATATTCGTTCATCACAAATGCTATCACAATGGAATTATAAGACGAATATATACTAACCTTTTCTGCTTCTTTTTGCTTTTCCTCTAGTTTTTGATCTGCTTCATCTGCAAATTTTTTTGCTATTTCAGCTTTGCTTACTGAACCTGATAGACATGATCGTCCACCACAATAGCCACAAGCACCTGGTCCACCACATAATTCATCACAAAAAGCCACCGATTCTGCGCCACATACATCTTTGTTTAATTTTGGCATGATAGATTCTAATTTTGCCAACTAGAAAAAATTGTTTCAGAGAAGATTTTTAAGTAAACATTGTTTGTACCATTAAAGATGACAAAAGCTCCCTTGTACATACCTGCTTATCTATCTGTACTAAAGCCACATCATTTTCATCAAATTGCTTTTCAAAATCAAGACGATTATTATCTAAAAGTTGTATTGCTCTTTGCCTGAAACTTTCAGCATCAGTAATTTTAAAATTAGCTTCATCGGTGCGTTGTCTTGCAGCAGAAGATTTCTCAGCCGATTCACGAGTGATATTATACGCACCCTGAAAATTTGTTTTGTACTCTGTTTAACTTTTCAATAACAAATTATATCATAACATGCAATAGTTTGTTTGTTTTAAATTTCTTGCAAATTTCAGGCAGATAAATTAGAAAGTTATCGAAATTAGAACAAGACATAGCAATGTTCATAGTTTTTATTTATTGTCAAGCAACTAATAATACTTACGACAAGATTAAGAGTCTTTTTTTTTTACCTGTACATCAGTTACTCGTAATAATGTTGCATTTTTTTTGAACGTTTGCGATTTCAGCGCAAGTTTTTCTACTTCACCGAGTAATGATTTTAATTCCAAATCAGCCTGATCAACGTCACTTGAAATTTCTGTTATATGTCCTCCAACACGATTCAAAAATTCCTTTTTCAAAGTGATCTTCAATAAGAAAGAATGTAATATTTTACGTGATCTAAATTAAAATATTATATATTCATTTAAACACTTTACGATCTAGCTATTCTACTGAATAAAGAAATGATTGAAAAACAGTTAGACTTTATAAAATAAAGTAATGAGTGTGGCAAACACACGTCTCGCCGAAGTTTGCCAATTTCATTTTGCTGTTTATTGATATCAATTCGCGTTATATTTGCTGATTCTAACTGAATTTTCAAATTTGCCAAAATTTTTTCCATTTTTTCAAACTGATCATCATAAACTGAAGCTATGCCTGTATCTTCAATGTTTTTCGTTGCTCCTGGAAATTAAACGTAAGCAGTTAGGGTGTCTAGTGGTAAATATATTATTATTATACGCTTAAAATTAGTAATCATCTTTTCAAAAATGATATCATCTTTCCTACTTCTGATTTTTTTCTCCATAATATAACAGTTATTTTTATCAGTCTATTTGAATTACACAAATGATGTACTGAAATTATTTGCAATACATGAAGTGAAAAGTTGATATATGCACAACGAAATCTCACCAATTAAATTATTAACTTGAGATTTTATATTCTGTACGATCTCATCCCAATTGTGAAAGCATTCTCCGCAAGCTTCACATTGAGGCCATTGACCAGTATATCCACGAGCACAGATATTACATAAAGGTCCTAAAAAAATAGGTTAACCGTTGAAAACTGACAGTACACCTTGAATAAATTCAAATTACGACATATGTATGTAGCAATTTAAAAATATCAAATTTGCTAAATATTTGCACAAAACAAGTATTTAGCACAAAACATTAGCCACAAACCTCCTGATCCCGGTAAACAAACACAATGGCCATTGCTACGATCACATTGTTGAGTAGCTGATCCAATTATATTACATTCACATTTGCGGCATTCATCCCTTGCTGGATCTCCCCAGTGATAATTCTCACAATCAGAACTGCAAAATTTGTTTTTATTTCCATTTTTTTTAGCAAAAAGGTTAAATGTCATTTTACCATGTGCGCCCTCCTCTGCCTGGCTTACAATAGCACCGACCATCCAGCTCATTACAATGCAAGTCTGGTGCTCCATCATTGTCAAGAATAACACCTGTAGGGTCACATCCACATGGTTCGCATCCTTTTCCTAAAAATAGGCAAGATTTGTTACAAATTCATTATTTAAAAGAATCATTTTATAGTTAATGATAAAAATTAGTACACTTACCACTTGCTAAATTAAAATGGTGTGGAGCACATGCATCACATTCCTTCCCTACAACATTTGACAAACAAGGACACTGCCCAGTAATATGGTTGCAAAATTCTATTGTTTTATTTGTTCCCAACTCGTTGCAAACACATCTGAACAAATAGTACTGTATGAAACTTCATAAGTGTAATGACAGTAAGAAATATGGAAGCAAAGTTTTAAAAGAATTCTAACTACAGTTTCTGATAATAATAAATAAATTGATAATAACTTAAATAATACAAACAGTAGCTTTTTCTTCTTCAAAAATAACTATTTATGAGTGTAATACTATAAATAAGTGTATACTAGTAAAGTAAGCTCTCAAACACAGTAAAAATTTTACTAAAAGTAATCAATAAGTTTCAAATAATGAATTATTTAATTGCTTGTAGCAAAGTTTTTTTAAATAATAGATTATATAATCCATTCAATCTATGGCATTTCATCTTGTAAAAAAAAATTTAAAATTAATTGTTTCCTTATTTCCAAGAAATTACATTTAGGCTTTGCATTAAAATCACTTAACAATAAAGCAGAGAAATTATAAATTCATTTTGGAAAATTAAAAATTCAATTCGGAAATTATAAATTCATTTTCAATTTGGAATTTTTATGTATTCCTTTTTAAATTATTTCAGTAGTTCTTTATACCTTTGACAGCTTCGTATTTTGGCATCTCCGTAATAACCCCTACTGCAGTATTCACATTGAACACCTTCCGTATTGTGAAGGCATTTAATACAATCACCAGTTACAGCATCGCAACTTCCTTCCACAGTTACATCGATGTTTCCATTACAATCACAAGGCTCACAACTCCCACCTAATTCATTTGGGTTACCCCAATAATTCAAAGCACATGAAGAGCACCGCTCACCAATATAACCTTCTCTATAAATTACGGATGAATGTGCAACTCTTAAGCTTAGATTTTCAAAATGTTTATTTCTCAAAATTTAAAAACTTCAATTAAACTCGCAAAGAACTGTGCTAGAAATTTAGATTTTCCTAACCCTCAATACGAAAAAAGTTAATAACTAAGACAATATACCTGCAATTGCAAATTACATCTGGTGTCTCAGAAAATTCACTCGTACGAAGATAACATGTATCTGCATGCTGGAAGCCACTATCTAAGCTACCAGGACAAGGGCATGGTTTGCAAGGTAAATTGATACCAAGACGAGGATCACCATAATAACCATCCTGAAAAAAAAATCACATGAAATTAATATATGATATATCTAGACTAACAAAAAATATCTCCTGAGATTTCTATTATTATTATTATTATTCAAGGACAATTGGAAAACAGTAACTTTTGTCTGCTAAGAAGAATTAAAAAATTCACGCAATTACTGAACTTTTCAGTTATTTTGAAGTTTAATTTATTCGAAATTTTTTACTTTGCAACGGTCACAGTAATAACCATCAGTAAGGTCACGGCATTCAATACAAGCTCCATTTTGTTGGTCACACACAGAAGCATGATCATTACACTGACATAAGTGACAATCCGGAAATGACCAAAATCCTGGCTGACACTGACTACACTGCCTAGAAGTAATGATAATTTTCAATATATTTACTTTTGATAATAGAATGAGCTAGAATTCAACAATTTTTACGATATGAAAAAAGATTACTAACAAACTGTAGCGATAGAGAAATTACAGTAAAACTTTCTTAAAGTTGCAAACAAACTAATATTTACGTTTCTTGAAAACTTATTTTCTATGCTAGAGTGCTGAGTATAAATTGTTTTTTTTTAAAACAAAAGAGCTTAAAAATTTCTGCATAAAATGTAGAAAAAATACATAAGGAATTTATTACCTTCCTGTAATTCCATTCTCTCTGCAGTTACACTGACCACTTTGTGGATCACAAATATTATTAAGTGCACCAACACTATCACATTCGCATGGTGTACAACCAGAAGGACCGAAACCATATGTTCCTACTGCACATTTATCGCATCTAAATAAAAGTAATATCACATAAAAATTGAATTATTTATGAAAATATCACAATATTTGTACAAGCGAAAAATCAGAAATATGAATTTACTGACTGATATTAATCTTTTTCACAACATATGATTAAATAAAAGTAAAGTTTAATTTACAAATGTGTAGATAATAGTACTCAATTACTTTCATTTTCAAAAATTACTGCATATAAACCCATAATAAATGCAAATCTGAATGACTAATGTTTGCTATCAAAACATTTCCTTTACAACTTTACAAATGAATGATGGTATTCAGAGAGATAACAAACATGTCTGAGTTAGCTTGAAAAAAATTTCTCTGATAAGCTGCACTAGCATTCATTAATTAAGCAATATTGAAAAGATAATAATTTCTAAAATATGGTATAAGAAGACTAATCAGTGAACATACATAAAAGTAAATTAGACTAACCTTCGTCCAACAACATTGGGCTTGCAATCACACTGCCCACCTTTACCAGAGCATATTCCAGAAAGTGAACCAGTTGGATCACATTCACAATCTAAGCTACGATTGAAAAGCATAGCTGCGATTGGACAAATATAGCGAACACATACATCTGATAAATCCAACATCGGTATTAATGATAACTGCTGTTCCCTGCACTGATAACGATCGTACTCCATTCTGAAATTAAGTTTATTAGCACTGCAAATTGTAAAAATTGTAAAAACTAAAAAAATTCTCACAATAAAATCATCCCATTTAATTCTAACTTTAGACTAATGACACTTTCATATAATAAATACATTATTTTCTCTAAAGTTGTGTATTTTTTTTTCAATTCTTATAAAGTTTATTTTGAAACAAGATGTTTTTGC